GTTTTTACCTTCTCTAGTTGATGATTTTTGTAGTAAATTACCACAGTAAGTTTACAGTCATTAGGAGAGACTGTGACAAAAAAAAAAAAAGAAAGACTGCATAGGCAGAACAAGGATTAGATCAACACTGACTCTACAGAGTGAATAGAGTTCGTCTTGCTTTAAGTAGAGTTTAATCGTCATTGGTGAAGCAATACTTAATCTTTGAATAAATGATTTAGAAAACCGACAAGATGATAAATGAGAAACTGTTGTAACATTTGGGTATCTTTATTCTGGAAGATGTTGCCCAAAATGTTGCCCAAAATGTTGCCCAAAATGTTGCCCAAAATGTTGCCCAAAATGTTGCCCAAAATGTTGCCCAAATACGTCTCAAGTGCCTCATTTATCATTATTCATTATACTTACCTGGGTCTATATGCGTATAGAAAAACACTAAAAACAATACAAATATTTAATGTGACACAAAGACATTGCTGAAATTATTATTAGGGGAGAACAACCAGGCGGGAAGACTGTTCTTTAAGGCACTGTTCATTCACACATTCGAACTCTTTTGAACACTTTCGAACACTTTTGAATACATTAGAACGCACTCGAACAAAAGAACAGAGCCTTGAGTGTGGGTTGATACCTTAGGTTAAGTTGTCAGGAAAAAGAACAAGTGTTTTCTAACGCTAGTCTGTCATATGATGCCTTGACACTTCAGTTTGTGGTCATCTGATTGAGGCCTTCCACTGGCTAACCACTTCACAAATAGAAAAATTAAAATCTCGTCGTTGAACTCTTGCATGGCTAGTTAGAATTAAGCTGGAAGGTCGTTAACAAGCAGACAGGTGTCTGTGGTACACTGTTCCTTCACTGTGATAGTACCAGGTGTTCATTCACTGTGATAGTACAAGGTGTTCCTTCACTGTGGTAGTACCAGGTGTTCCTTCACTGTGGTAGTACCAGGTGTTCCTTCACTGATAGTACCAGGTGTTCCTTCATTGTGATAGTACTAGGTGTTCCTTCACTGTGATAGTACCAGGTGTTTCTTCACTGATAGTACAAGGTGTTCCTTCACTGTGATAGTAACAGGTGTTTTTTCACTGATAGAACCAGGTGTTCCATCAGTGATAGTACCAGGTGTTTCTTCACTGTGATAGTACAAGGCGTTCCTTCACTGTGACAGTAACAGGTGTTTTTTCACTGTGATAGAATCAGGTGTTCCATCACTGTGAGAGTACCAGGTGTTCAATCACTGTGATAGTACCAGGTATTCCATCACTGATAGTACCAGGTGTTCCTTCTGTGATAGTACCAGGTGTTCCTTCTCTGATAGTACCAGGTGTTCCTTCTCTTTCATAGTACCAGGTGTTCCTTCACTGTGATAGTATCAGATGTTCACTGTGATAGTACCAAGTGTTCCTTCACTGTGATAGTACCAAGTGTTCCTTCACTGTGATAGTACCAGGTGTTACTTCACTGTGATAGTACCAGGTGTTCCATCATTGTAATAGTACCAAGAGTTTCTTCACTGATAGTACCAGGTGTTCCATCACTGATAGTAGAAGTTCCATGGCTGTGATAGTACCAGATGTTCCTTCACTGTGATAGTACCAGGTATTCCATCACTGTGATAGTACCAGGTGTTCCTTTCTCTGTGATAGTATCAGATGTTCGTTCACTGTGATAGTACCAGGTGTTCGTTCACTGTGATAGTACCAGGTGTTCCTTCACTGTGATAGTACCAGGTGTTCCTTCACTGTGATAGTACCAGGTGTTCCATCACTGTGATAGTACGAGAAGTTCCATGACTGTGATAGGGCCAGATGTTCCTTCACTGTGATTGTACTATCACAATGAAGGACCACGTAGTACTATCACAGTGAAGGAACATCTGGCCCTATCACAGTCATGGAACTTCTCGTACTATCACAGTGATAGAACACCTGGTACTATCACAGTGAAGGAACACCTGGTACTGTCAGTGTAGAAACTTTGTACTATCACAATGAAGGATCACGTAGTACTAAGAGTTTCTACACTGATAGTACCAGGTGTTCCTTCACTGTGATAGTACCAGGTGTTCCATCACTGTGATAGTACCAGGTGTTCCATCACTGTGATAGTACCAGGCGTTTCTTCACTGTGATAGTAACAGATGTTCCATCACTGATAGTACCAGGTGTTCCATCAGTTGTGATAGTACCAGGTGTTCAATGACTGAGATAGTGCCAGAAGTTCCATGACTGTGATAGTAATAGGTGCTCCATCACTGTGATAGTACCAGGTGTTTCTTCACTGTGATAGAACCAGGTGTTCCGTCACTGATAATACTAGGTGTTCCATCATTGTAAAAGTTCCAGGTGTTTCTTCACTGTGAAAGTACCAAGTGTTTTAATCTAATTTGCTTTAAAATCTCAAAGCTGGACTACATGAGCGGAAAGTTAGATCTGGTTTAAATTAAGAAAAATTAAATATTTCTACGCGATAACTAGTGGCACCATCTGATTTGCTTTAAATATTCAGTACCAACATTTACCTGCATTAGAAAGTTACATTACACACTACCAATCCTTTTCAATGCATTTAAGTATAGGAAACCTACATTATGGAGTAGTACAATACCTCTCTTGGGTCACTGAGGTAGAGGAGGCTAGGGTAAAGAGATACAGGGAGACTTTCCTGGAGTTAAGGGGGGGGGGTAGGTAAAGGAATACAGGGGCATCTTTTCTGATCTATCAGCCTCTTCAAGGGGGGCTCCTTGGCGTGGTGAAGAGGCTCTTGTCTGGGGAATTGACCTTTTGGCTTCTTCCTCAGACCAACCCAATTACCCCCCCCAAACTCCCCTCCCCCATCCCCCCCCTCCCCCCTTTTT